TAGTTTGATGGGTTTCAGAAAGAAGCTGTACAGATGGTGAAGCCTGCAAAGGGTACAACCACACTTGCGTTTATCTTTAAAGAAGGTGTTATGGTAGCTGCTGATTCTCGAGCAAGCATGGGAGGATATATCTGTATGTTTCTTCTTCACAATTGGAGATTGAATTAGTATCTTGTTGGCATTAGTTCTCTGTGCTGGGTTGTTAAACAAATTTATAATCTTTCTCATGTTGGCCATTGATACTGTACAGTAATAGAAAGGATGCATTTGTGTGATTGTTGATGTTTTGTTGTGTTTTTAAAATCATTCAGCGTCGCAGTCGGTGAAGAAGATTATTGAAATTAATCCTTATATGCTTGGTACAATGGCTGGTGGAGCTGCTGACTGCCAGTTCTGGCACAGAAACCTGGGAATTAAGGTACTTAACCTTTATTTTTGTTAGCTTCTTGAATTGATGAATCGAGTCTGTCATTTTCTGTGGCAATTAGGTTACTCATTGTCTGTCCGTTGTTCGTATAGCTAGTTTATTGATTGCCGAAATCAGTTGAGTTCTTAGCCTTGTCGGAGACTTTATAAGTTTTGTATACTGTCTGGTTTCCAAGAATGACCCTAAGAACATATGTTTTCTTTCTGTATCGTTAAAACCCTGAGGGAGAGTTATTGTATACAGCTGTTGTTCATTTGAGTGCTTGTGTCCAAATTTCTGTCCAGTGTTATCAACTTGTATGCCAAATATGCACTATGTTGGAGCCCTGTCTCTAATAGGGAGTGGATTTGTTTGTCTATTGTAGTGCCGTCTACACGAGCTGGCAAACAAAAGGAGAATCTCTGTTTCAGGAGCTTCAAAGCTTCTTGCCAACATGCTTTATTCATACCGTGGAATGGGACTTTCTGTCGGCACAATGATTGCTGGATGGGATGAAGAAGTCAGTACACCAAACTTTACATCTTTACCGTTCTATCAAATAAAAAAAACAAAGAAATGTTTTAAATACTAAAATCCTTCCATTTTGTGGAACAGGGCCCTGGATTGTACTATGTAGACAACGAAGGAGGACGACTTAAGGGAGACAGATTCTCTGTCGGTTCCGGTTCACCATACGCTTACGGTGTTCTCGACAGCGGGTATCTCTTTATTTCAAGAAACATCATTTCCCATCTTCTCTTTTAAGCCCAATCCCAAACCAAATATGATCTTGATTTACTATTATAACCAAATCTTATGGTATTTTTTCTTTGTCAATAGATACAAATACGATATGTCGGTTGAAGAAGCCTCAGAGTTAGCAAGGAGATCTATCTACCATGCTACATTCCGTGATGGAGCTAGTGGTGGAGTAGCTAGCGGTAAAGAACAATCTTTTCTTCTTCTTCTGTCGATTACATCATCTTCTTGTGATAGGGTCTTTGGCTAATATCAAGATTCTAATTTTGAAAGATGTATTAAACTTTCCCCAAATTTATATGATCAGTGTACCATGTTGGGCCTAATGGATGGAAGAAACTCTCTGGAGACGATGTTGGCGAGCTACATTACCATTATTACCCCGTGGCTCCAGCCACCGCGGAACATGTGATGGAAGAGGCGGCCGAGTAAAAATACTTTGATTCTCCATTTTCTCTTCTGCTATGAACAGAATCATAGATTCATGTTTGTTTTCTATTGCGAATGTGATTAGTTTTGTCTGGTAATCAAAATTTTAGGGCATCATTTCTGTTCAAGTTAGGTAATAAATTTCATGTCTTTTTCTCTCTTGAATATCTTCACTTCAAAATATTTATTCTAATACAAATCACTTTGGTAGTTGAAAGATTTAATCAGAAGTAGCTAAACATTTAGCTGAAATATTTTGGTATATTTCTGGTTCTTCTAATCAAATTAGTATCCATTTATACATAAAGTTCGAATCAGATATTTTAGTTAGTAAAAACAAAAAATATATATCGTAGTTAGCTCAGCAGTCTTTGTCACACGTTATTCACGCTCTGCACGATGGCTTTGTCCTCTGTTCGTCAGAATTGTTTTTTCGTGTTTTCTTCGATTGGTTAGTTACTATATCAATAATAATAATTGAAAAGAGAACAATAATCACAAATGTGAGAAATGTGTATACATAAATGCTTCCTTCATCATCATCATTATCACTACAATAAAAAAAAAACACTTGAGAGACGAACACTAAACATAATAAAATGGCTACGATTTGGTTTCTAACACTTCTCTTTCTCACTTGTCTTCTTCTCACCTTCTTTAAACGGAAGAAGCATCAACGTTTACCACCATCTCCTCCTGGTTTTCCGATCATCGGAAACTTACACCAGCTCGGAGAATTACCACATCAGTCTCTATGGACACTCTCAAAGAAGTATGGTCCTGTGATGCTTTTGAAGTTTGGAAGAGTTCCAACAGTTATAGTTTCTTCCTCTGAAACCGCAAAACAAGCTCTGAAAATCCATGACCTTCATTGTTGTAGCCGTCCAAGCTCAGCAGGTAAAAAAATACTAATCAAAGGTTGTTGTTTTTTCTTATTCCTCTGTTTCATAAGATTCAAACAAAACCAATGATTGTTTTGATCATTTTTCTTAGGGCCAAGAGAACTTTCTTACAACTATTTGGACATTGCTTTCTCACCTTTTGATGAGTATTGGAAAGAACTAAAGAAGATGTGTGTGCAAGAACTCTTCAATGTTAAACGAGTTCACTCGATTCAACCTATAAAGGACGAGGAAGTCAAGAAACTGATCGATTCAGTCGCGGAATCAGCTTCTGAGAAAACACCGGTTAACTTGAGCGAGAAGTTTCTTTCTTTAACTGTAGGCGTGATATGCAAGGCAGCATTTGGTGTGAGTTTCCACGGGACTGTGCTCAACAATGAAAGATTCGACAAGTTAATCCTCGAGTCATTCTTGTTTTTGGGGAGCTTCTCTGCCTCGGATTTCTTTCCAAACTGCGGTTGGATCTTAGACTGGCTCACGGGTTTACAAGGGCGAAGAGAGAGAAGCGTGAGGGATCTCGATGCGTTCTATGAACAAATGTTTGATCTTCATAAACATGGAAACAAAGAAGGAGTTGAAGATTTTGTGGACTTGCTATTGAGGTTGGAGAAAGAAGAAGCTGTTCTTGGATATGGAAAGCTCACAAGAAACCATATCAAAGCAATCTTAATGGTAAACTATACATACAAAGATTCACAATACTGAATAAATATACCAAAACATCAAATACTGAATACTTTGTAACATTTTCTTTTATACAGAATGTTCTTATTGGGGCCATAGGTACTTCTGCAATAACAATGACATGGGCAATGGCAGAACTTATGAGAAACCCGCGAGCGATGAAGAAAGTACAATCCGAAATCAGAAACCAAATGGAGAACAGAGCAATGATCACTTTGGATGACGTAGACGAGTTCCATTACTTGAAAATGGTGATCAAAGAAACATGGAGGCTACATCCTCCAGCACCACTTCTTGTTCCAAGAGAAGTAATGTCAGAATTCGAGATCAATGGCTACAAAATCCAACCCAAGACCAAGCTTTATGTGAACGTATGGGCCATCGGGCGTGATCCGGATAGTTGGAAAGATCCAGAGATGTTTCTCCCTGAAAGGTTTATTGATAATAACATTGATGCAAAAGGACAACACTTTGAGTTGCTACCGTTTGGGAGCGGCCGGAGAATATGTCCTGCAATGTACATGGGGACAACAATGGTGGAGTTTGGTCTAGCGAATATGTTGTATCATTTTGATTGGAAGTTACCAGAAGGCATGGCGGTCGAAGATATCGATATGGAAGAATCTCCTGGACTCAATGTAAGCAAGAAAAATGAGCTACTACTTGTTCCTGTGAAGTATTTAGATCATTGATCACTTAAAACTTTAAGTTTTTCATGTGATTACAAAATAAAATGTATCATCGATTTTACTAAATAAAATGAAATATTGTTTTCCTTGGTTAGTCCAACAATGATGACGAAATATGGAAGAGAAAATGCCAAAACAGAATGTAGAGAGACACAAAAAGTTCCTATGATCTTTTGTGTTTCCGATTATGTTTGATATCAATTGAGAGGACATAAAAAAAAGCAATATATCCCATACAGAGAGTGAAATTGTCTTCGAATATTAAAATAATATAAGAAAGCGATTGAAGACAGCAATAATGCTTAAAATAAATGTGGTGTAGTCAGATCTAAAAGGCTTGGGCTTAGAAATGGCTAACATTTGGCTTCTCTCACTTCTCTTCCTCATCTGTATTCTTCTCGCCTTTTTCAACCACAAGAAGCGTCGGAAATATTATCAGCAACCACCGTCTCCTCCTGGTTTCCCGATCATCGGAAACTTACATCAGCTCGGAGAATTACCACATCAGTCTCTATGGACACTCTCAAAGAAGTATGGTCCTGTGATGCTTTTGAAGCTTGGAAGTGTCCCAACAGTCATTGTTTCTTCCTCTGAAACAGCAAAACAAGCTCTTAAAATCCATGACCTTCATTGTTGTAGCCGTCCAGGCTTGGCAGGTACTAAAGTTTCAATTTTTAAATTCTCTGTTCATAGGATTCAACAAAACCCATGAATCTTGAATCTTGATCATTCCTTAGGTCCAAGAGAACTCTCTTACAACTATCTAGACATTGCTTTCTCTCCTTTTGATGATTATTGGAAAGAAGTAAGAAAACTCGCTGTTCAAGAACTCTTCAGTACTAAACAAGTTCACTCGATTCAACCCATCAAGGACGAGGAGGTCAAGAAACTGATCGATTCAATCGCGGAATCAGCTTCTCTGAAAACTCCGGTTAACTTGAACAAGACGTTTCTTGCTTTAACTGTAAGTGTGATATGCAGGGCTGCATTTGGTGTGAGTTTTGAGGTAACTGTGCTCAACAGTGATAAGTTCAATAAGTTAGTCCGTGAGGCTCTTGAGATGTTAGGAAGCTTCTCTGCCTCAGATTTTATTCCGTATATCGGTTGGATCATCGACTGGTTCACGGGTTTACAAGCACGGCGAGAGAGAAGCGTGAGAGATCTCGATGCGTTCTATGAACAAATGATTGATCTGCATAATAAAGAGGAGAAGGAAAAAGGCAGTGAAGATTTCGTGGACTTGCTATTGAAGTTGGAGAAAGAAGAAGCTGTTCTTGGAAACGACAAGCTCACAAGAAACCATATCAAAGCAATCTTGCTGGTAACTAACCAAAGATTTGGCAATTCCTGTAAACAGTACCTGAGATTCTAACATGTTTTTATGATCTTGTCGCAGGACGTTCTTCTTGCGGGTATCGATACTTCTGCGATAACCATGACATGGGCAATGACAGAACTCGCGAGAAACCCGAGAGTGATGAAGAAAGTTCAATCTGAAATCAGAAACCAAATGGGGAACAGAGAAAGAATCAGCTTAGATGACATTGATCAATTCAAGTACTTGAAAATGGTGATTAAAGAAACATGGCGTCTACATCCTACAACACCTATACTACTCCCAAGAGAAGTAATGTCTGAATTCGAGATCAATTCCTACACGATTCCGATCAAGACACGGCTCCATGTCAATGTATGGGCTATTGGGCGTGATCCTGATACCTGGAAAGACCCAGAAGTGTTTCTCCCTGAGAGGTTTATTGATAGTGACATTGATGCGAAAGGACAGAACTTTGAGCTGTTACCGTTTGGTGGTGGTCGGAGAATGTGTCCTGCAGTTTACATGGGAACAACAATGGTGGAGTTTGGTCTTGCGAATATGTTGTACCATTTTGACTGGAAGCTACCAGAAGGCATTGCAACCGAAAATATCGATATAGAAGAAGCTCCTGGGCTCACTGTCAACAAGAAAAACGAGCTTCTACTTGTACCGGAGAAGTATTTAGATCATTAAGCAGCTAAAATAAGTTAATCATGATATAAGTCTGAAGAGTTTAATGTCATTGAACTACCTAGGCGAGTCAAGATTAAGATTGGTGCTAAATTGGTGACTATAACGGGTATATTGCCCTCAGGGAGTAAGTTGCGTCGCAAAGGAGTAATCCAGATGAGGGTTTGGTACATGATAACTTTAGTAACAATGGCGGAGTCAAAAGTTTGTGATTCCTCGTTGGAGAGAAACTGTCGGGGATATGTCGTTTTCTTTCCAAGGTACCGTTGGAATCGGAGAACTTGTTTTCACACAAATAGGGTTGCTTGATGGAAAATCCATTGATTTATCAGAAATTGGTTGGTTTGGTTGCTTGTTCAGTCTCTCAAATAATATGTAGTAGTCTTATTATGGTTGTTTGTCGACCAGTCTCTCAAGTAGTACTAGTCTTATTGGGTATGTTCTCGTTGTCATTTCGGTTGTCGTTAAACAATAATGTTCTATCAATAAATCAGACCTTTATTTAAATGCTCTTGGATCAATCAAATTTTTTTGTTTTTATGGTACAATCGTTTCTATCGTCAGTAACTTTAGTAACATTTCTTCTCTGTTTCTACTCTGTTTCTTAGTCACCATCTTCTTCAGTTGGCCATTTCTTCTCTCCTAGTTTATGCACTCATAGATGGTGTATATCGTATAATTAACGTGGCGTTTCAATCAAGGAAAACACTTACTGGTGTGCTACTCTGTTTTGATTTTACAAGTGAGAGCTTTGGACCGCTTTTGCCTCTGCCATATAACGCTTGGTATTATGATTATGTAAGATGATCTTGTGTTGGAGAAGAGAAGATGAGATTGAGATATGAGAATTTTACAAAAAATGTCATTTCTTCCCAAATTTGTTTTTTAATATACCATTAAATTTTTTTTTTTCAAAATATGCCACAATCAATTGGCAAAAGACTAATTTGCCATAACCACTTGTAAAAACACCTTTACACATCTTCTCTCTCTTTTATTTTTTTTACGTAAATCTTTTTTTTTACTAATTCCTCATTTCTCTTTCTCCCTCGTAAATCTTCTTTTCTCTCTCTATATCTCTTTCTTCTTCTTCCCTTGTAAACCTCCCTTTCTCTCTCTATTTCTCTTTCTTTTCCTTTCCTCGTAAACCCCCCCTTTCTCTCTTAAATCTTCTCTTTTTCACATTGACAATTTTAATTAAAATTGTCCACGATTGTATTCTAGATATTGTTACGTGTGGATAATAAATTGTCCACGAAAATCGTGAAAGAGAGGGAGAAAAGGAGAACTGTCCACAAAAATTGTGAGAGAGAGAGTTGTCCACTAAAATCGTGACAAAGAAAGATAAGGAGTTGTATTCGTAGATAGAAGACACGCCCGAGTGGACAACTTGTTAATATATTGTTATATGTGGACAATGAGTTATCCACGAAAATCGTGACATAGAGTTGTCCACTGAAATCATGACATAGAGTTGTCCACTGAAATCGAGACAGAGA